TGATTTGACTTCACCCATCACATTGTCCATCAGTGGAAAGTCATTATGACGGAATGCTACAATAAATTGAAAATGATCGAAATCCACAGTTTTGCAACGCCATCTTACTTCAGTCACATTGAGCTACCCAATGGTATATAAAATGATGAGCAGAATCACGCAGTTGATGCAGCTGACCACTGCCCAGTTATATATATTCAATGCGGCGACCGTAGTACAGAGCGCTGATAGAAACCAGCTGTCTGCTTCAAGTCGGCTGTGCCCAAACTGCTGCTGAAAGATGTCATAGAGTGTGTTAATTTTGCAAATTATTAAACTGGACCGACAAAGATATACTAGATGAGTCTTGTATTAGAAGAACACTACATATGTAAATTTTGTTCTTCGTCTTGGTTATATAAGGTTCCTGCAGCCAATCGATTGTGGAAGATAATTATACATGATATTATCGGCATTGAACAATATCACCAGCAACTTTGCATCGATGCTTTACATTCTAATAGCTTACTGTGAACTGTTTCGTTTTGATGATAGAGTAAACACTCCAAGACTGCCAAACTAGTTGTGTGACTACCAATCCATCGTAATCCATAGAAGTTAAGCTCAAGGGTGCATCGGCGATCTTCTTGTGTCCTATCTCTATACTCAGCATTTGAGGTAGCCGAGCAACAAATTTTGGCCGAACAAAATAGTCGTAATCTATTTGCAAAAGCTGTGGAATCACGGATAATTTCATTTGTAAATGTTCGTGCTTTACATTGAGGGACGAACTACAAAAGTTCCGCCCATACTTCGAACAGGGCGACAGTAAGTTTGAGGAAAATTATAGCTCTCTCGAGTTATAAGCCGTTATAACTACTCTTAATTATACCGCCGTTAATTATACCTCTTTCGAAATCAAAAGCCTCAAAATATGACTTGCTCCAATACAACGGTTTGGTACAATTCGAAAGAAAACAGGATAGTGATGAATTAACTGCTGTCACCGCCGTTAACTTCAATAGAACAAATGTCATCAGCTTAGTAGCTATGCATCTTCAGGTTTCTCACTAAGCCGGCATCTGCCACTACTGTTTTTTGGCATGTCGAACGCTGAGTTTAACTGTCAGCTTTTCGTAAGAAACAGATGAGTGGCAAATCTTTAAGCGTTGAGGTTCGAGGTGAGTAAAAACGAACAAGCCTTTACACTCTCTCTATATGAAATGCTGGAAAAAATGGAACGGAAAATTTGCAACATTTGAAATTTAGGTCTCCCTTGCACTGTCATTAATGATTGAGCGAATTATAGAACCGTTGTTTTCATTGTTCAAGTCAACGGTGGGAGCGCTGATCTTCATTTTCATGTCATCAGGCGTAAGAGCCTTTTTCGAGGCAGAGTCCGCAGCAACGATGTGGGAAACATAGCTTATAGTTTCGTGCTTTCCACCCCACAGAGTGACACTCATTTATTAATTTCAAAAGGAGGAAAAGCCAGTACTCCCGCTCGGGGATCGGAGCAACGACCTATCAGACATGAACCCGACGCTCTTCCGATAGAGCGATTCCAGTCTGAAGCAACATATAGTAATTTTCTTGCTGAATAGAATTCGTGGTTACCGTTCCAAGATGCCACTTCAGCCAGAGTCGAACCTAGCACCTCTGGAGTTCGAAGCAGACCTCTTGGCCTATGTGCCACCACGCTAGTGGAGGACAGAATGAAACGGCGACGAACTTAAACACCTTATTGCAAGCTGGTTTTTGAGGCAATTAGTTTTGCAAGCACGTTTAAAAAACTGTTTTCTCTACACTTGGTGTTCTCATGGCACCTATGATACGGTAAAACATTTGCGATCGACCAGCCTTCTGTGACGGATACGATTTTTCCTGTAGTCTGAACAAAACTTGACTTGACATACTGGATGTCATAAGGGGGTTACGGCATCCGCACGTTTCTTGTCACCCTTTGCCATTGTATTCTGTCTTGAGCAATGTCGGATATGATCGCAAGCCAATCAGGGTACGATGTTTGGCTCGCACTTTGTCAGTGGGTGTGGCTAATCTGCGCATTCGTCAGTTCATCTCTGATGCTATCCAGCTCAAAAGTTGTCGACTTGCCTCCTCTCTGTCTTTACCAGTACGGGTTCGGCACACTATGAATCAAAATGCTGATCAGCCGCCTGTCGTCTCATCGCAGTGTGTGGTCGAGAGTCGAGAGTTTTAGTTTTTTATATTCGCCAGAGGGAGAGTTTATATTGTTCTCTGCCCGGAGAACTCCATTTGTACTCATTCTAACGTCTTCCAGCAATTGTACCTTCATAACTTTATCACTCAATCAATAGCCGAGCATTCTTCGGCAATACGAGCATTCAAATACGTCCAGCGCATTCGATTCATTCTTGTTAAAGATTCAAGTTACTGGTCGAATGGCTGTAAAGATATACGTGGACGGTTACTGAGGTACTCACAGCAGTTTTCCAATGATTTTGCTCCAGCATGGTGTGTACAATTCGAACGTTCCTTATTCTTTCTTGGACATCAGCTTCACATATTCCATCAGAAGTGATCGTCGATCCAAGAACTTGATGACGTAATGTATATCTTCCCCGTCAATTTTCATGATGTGGACGTTTTCTGGGGCATATTGAACAAAACACATATTCAAAATAAATTCTACACCGCCATTCTGACCTCCTCGCCGAGTAATGAATCGCTGTTGCGGTCAGCAGCAGAAACAGGAATTTGCTAAGAATAAATGTTTGCCAAACTCAGCTGTACTCCCTCTGACACGAACGAAATAAGGTGCGTCTCGTCGACCCATAACGAGCGCTTGACGATCCAATTGCTCCAGCTTCACGAGATTGTTTTCCATTAATGCATTGACCCCATGCTCCTCTAGTCACGGTGGTAGAAGAAGATCCATCATCCACCTTGTCCTCGTTCGTTGGCATGAGGCAAACACAAAGTGATGTACTGTCGATCTTCTCTGTCTATGCTTCCTGCATCCATTGCTGGCA